CATATGGTTCAGAACGGATTAACCGTAATTACATTGAACCTTATGGGAAAATTTGATTCAGGTCGCGACCAGAGTCGCGGAACGAATTAAGTTCATGAACCGAGGTACCACTGTACTTGTTCTCTCATATGTGCAACAGGCATTTTCTTTCTACAGTAGTCTGCTCTACTTGTAGCATTCAGAAATTATATAATTATTCTCATTGTTATAGAAATACAATGAAAATTCCTGAAACTGAAGTAAAGATTGTTTAGTCAAACATTCTTGTGCGGTGGTCATGGCTACAGTTAACGTCCCTGTGTTATATAATGTTGAGAGCACTCCAAGTGAAGTTGTGCAAAAGAATGGCTGTAGATCTGTACATTAATATATGATCTTCCTATCTAATTAACCATTGCCTGGCCATTCTCACTTCACCACCATCTTGACCTTCGTAGAACTAAATGCAGACAGTGTGTGTGATGGAACGGTATCTACAAATGTATCTCTGAAGAGGAGGGTGATGTGAGAGATCAAGGCTATCAGGAGGGGGGTGGGGGGTGCATTCCAGGAAGGGAAAGGAGACAAAAGACAACACAGTCATCAGGGGGACCGTGGGAAGAGAAAGAGGTTCAGGATAACCACTCCCTAGAATCTCCCAGGGTACATCCACTGGTCGGAGTAGTATAGATTTAGTCTGGCAAGATTCTGTCCATAAGGTGTAAACAAATAAAGGAACTTTACTCGACCGAACTGTTTCATCATTGTTCTTGGGCTGGGCCTGACAGTTTGTCAATATAAAACATTTAATGGCTTCCAATGCTCCCATGTTTCTTTGCCAGTAATAGATATCCTTGCCTTGGTGAAATCAAAAGGAAGATTCCTAAAGGGAAAGTTAGCTGTCCTGTTGGTTCATCTATTTTTAATGGCACTGGGGCTTCTTTCTGTGCTATACATTTCTAATTTACATTTACCAGAAGAGTTGTGAGAGTGATACCTATTCTGGAATGGAAAGAAGGAGAGCAGCCCTGAACTATTTGTGCCAGTTTCTGCCCCCTCTGTATCTTTTATTAGAATTCCAGCTATAAACAAGAACAGACACAATACAAATTCAATTCCAAACTTTCTTTTCTTTTTTGGTGTTTCAATTAAATATCAATCCCCAGATGAGATCTGTAGGAATGCTGCACAATGTCATAAAGATCCTCAGCATTACAATTATCACCAAATAGATTAGTTGTTATTGGACACTTGTTTCTATGTTAACTGGCTCACTTGCCTTAGAGTTTTCCAGCTGAAATGCTCTTGAGTATACATTAAAAGCTGCCTGACTCCTATACTAATATCCTTGTACCTCAATTAGCGTTATCAGAGCAGACATTTGTTAGCACTTCTGGATACAAATAAGTAAGGCTCCACCACCTTTCATACTATACAGATCTCCTGGGTGGGATAATTAAATAATGACTGAAGCAAATGTGTTTGGAAGTGCTGCAGATCAATCTGATTTTCCATGAACGGTTCCTTTCTATGACATGAAGCTTTCCTACACAGGCCATTTAAGCTTCATGATAATTGGCAGAAGAAAAAGGTTCTCTGATAAGTGATCACTGTTAATCACAAAAATCATAATCTAATGTAGGATAAAAGAAGAAAATAAAAACATTCTCTGTTTCTTTTTTGTTGTTTTTACTGCACATTGACTTTTCCATTGTTTGTAAGAGGGCTTGTATTTTTAAATAACCTAAACAAACTAGTTACTAGAAATAAATAAAATAAATGGCCATTACATTTATTTACTGAATTTGTACTGTGTCTAATTCACCCCATTCCATTACAAAAGGATTTTTAAAAATATATAATGGGAGACACAATAGTTCATATTTTAAATCTTACTTCAGATGCAAGTATTGGGTTAAAATCAATTGGTCCAAGTCAAACTTGGTGTTCTATCTAAGGTACAGCTATCAGACTAGCCACTAATCAAATTAATCAGGAATGAAGAAGGAAATATTTTATAGCTAAATCAGCAGCTAATTTCACACTATGTGCACAAGTTTCAAGACAATGAATAAGCAACATAAGCTAGGTTCCAAAAACAGAAGGTGATGGGGAACCTCTGGTGAGGATTTATGGCAAACCAGACGTCCCTGAAGGAGTGGGGATGGCATCATGGCCGAGATCAGTGGCCAGACAGTGAACGCTGGCCAGTGAAATCTCTCCAGAAAAATGAGAAATTGTAAGGTTGCCCACTTGTACTCCGGACAGCTGCTCCTCATGAGTAGACTGCAGGAACTGAAGTTTTTGCAGTCAGCTTGTGAGTTGAGCTGCTGGGAGTTGAGGGATTCCAACCAAGCACACAGCTATAATGTAGCCTATATGGACACAAGGTTTGCTGAGCCTCATTTCTTACTCACTTTCAGAAACTGCTTTTTAACAGCGTTTTAGCTATTAAGAACCTTTGTAATGCCAAGTTTTAGTGCACTGGATGGGTCTTCTTCAATCCTTGGCAAAAAGTGAAAGAAGTTTTAAATACAAGTTTAAGGCCTAAAAAAATATATTATGGGGGGGGGGAATAAATAGCAAAAGGGTGATTATTCATGTTCATTTTGGAAATTTACAAACAGACTAAGGGTTCAGATGGATTTGAAATAAGATTTTGAAATTAATTGTAGCAATCCTTCCCCTGGGAAAATCCAAAATGTTGTTTTGAATCCCTAAAAAAAAGAAAAAAAAAGATAGGATTTGAAGGTTGGACACTGGAGGGAACCAGAAGGAACTAAGGATTCCTATGATGGACTGACCCTGATCCTGAACTTTCTAAGCTCCTTTCTTCCATTTCTAAGGTAAAGAAAATGTATTCCTTGGTTCACTTCTATCTTTTGATGGGTTTTCTCCAAAAAAGGAATGAAATGGAGGCATTTCCAAAGCTCCAAATTCAATCTTGTGCTTGTGTACACCTCTCCTTTTAAGCTTTAGTATTTGCACTAATCAAATGTTGATGAAATAACTTAGACTTCGGGTATCTAAAAAATCTTTCCTCTTCCTAAACTATCTCAGATCTAAACCAAAATTTTTACATCAACACTTTGAGATCCCTGCACTTAGTGCTGTTGAGTTAAATTTCCTCAAAGCCTTAGTGGCTTGAGGAAGAAGAACCAAAAGTTTTCCTTTAAGGGGAAAAAAAACACCCTAGTCCTTGCACAGACCCTTCTCCCCTCCATTATTTAAATACTAAGTAGTCTGCTAAGAAGTGTTTTGAAAAAGTAGCATTGTTCAAAGGCTGTTTGTATTCATATGTTTGTACAGATGTCTTGTTGAGGAAGTTCAATCAGAACACAAAAAGTCAGCAGAGGAATTTCAACCACGTACACCACCTGTACTCTCAGAGAAATACATCCTCCTTGAGATCAAATGAAATGTTGTGAAAGTCATTCTCCAGAAGAACTCAGATATACAGCTGTGTGGCAAACTGCAAGGAAAATGGCTCCAAAGTGTACTGTAGATGCAAGGAAGTCAAAATTTAGAGGGCTAGAGCACATTAGAAAGTTCTTTATATAGGCTCTCCACTTCGTAGTCTAAGCTAAAAGGTTTCTTCCCCAGAGAAGAAAAGCAAGCTTCTTCATTAGAGTTGTGAAAGACAAGTCCTATCACTTTTCCTTTCATTACTATATTTCAGTTGTACAGTCTATACTGAACAACTTTGAATCCTTTGTGACTGCCCTACTGAATGACTCTAAATGAAAGAACTTGTTCCCGAGCAATGTGATTCACAGTTCAGGTTTCAGATGTAAGGCAACAAGTGAATACAAATAAACAGATGGGAGGAGCCCAGGGGAAAAGTGTGATTAATTTGATCAAAACCCTAATCCCAGAGTTGCAGCACAGCAGCTGTTCTGTCACGGACAATATTTAATGTACCAGAGCTGGCCTACAATCTGTACAGGGATTTTCAAAACACTTCCATTCATTTCTGCACATACGTCTGTACTTCTGCATGCCCTTCTGGGCCATGCCAGCCACTTTTCTACATGGGCAGTTATTTCTGAAACCACTTGTGCAATATATATTATAACTGTAATTATGTGCCATGTGTACATATGATTTTATTGTGCATCCTGGAGATCCAGACTAGTGTAGCATCAAATATGCTAGACTACAGCTGGGGAGGACCCAAATTCAAATCCATGTTCAACCAGTTCCATGTATTTTTTTTTTAAAGTAGTTTTGCATTTTTAAAGTAACCACAGCAAAAACAGCATCTTCAAGTTGCAGGATTTACTAAAATGAATTCAATCTCTTTTAAAAGAAGGTTTGCTGCAATGTTCATGGTATTTCATTGCCAATAATAAATACCATATCTAGGTATAATTTCCAAATAATATTTTAGTTTTTCTTGCTTTGTTTTGTGTAGCCTGAGCTCATTTTAAAATGGTATATTTTTAATTGTATTTTAGTTTTGATACATTGTTACTCTTAGATTACATTAGATTAGATTAGATTAGATTTTGATGTTAACATTTTTTTAGGAGGCAAGAGACAATTTCTATTATGTTATGGCTTCAGTAAATAATACACAACCAAATATTCTAAATTGTTGTTCCAGAAAGATCCTTAATTAAGACATCAACATTAACATCAAATGCCTACTTATATTTTTTAAAAACGTTTTACCCTGTTCCTTGAAACATGTGTCTTAGCCTGCCTGCTCGCTTGTTCTCTCTCTCTTTTTCTTTCTTTCTTTCTTTTTCTTTCTCTCTTTCTTCTCTCTCTCTCTCCATTATAAAATACATAATTATTAAATTATTAATAATATATTTATTATTAAATTTATATGCCACCCATCTCCCCTCTAATAGCAAAAAGTTACAAGAGTACATACCTTATGGCATGAATTACTCTGCTACTCTTTAAAATGGCTCACAACTATCCAGAGTTTTTCATGTGTGGCATCCCCAACATATAAACCCTTATCAGGAAGAAGAGAGGGCCATATTCCAAACATTTCTAAAAAATGGATCCTAGCACCAAAAGCAAGGTAGAAGCATGTTCTACTGCTCCTGATTCTACACCCATAGATACCACTCTTAGTGTGGAGATTCCACTGCCTAGCCCACAAGATGAGAAAAGCCAGGTTTGGTGAAGATTTACCCTGGAAAGGACGGTCTAAATGGAAGTAAGTTATTGAGTATTCTGGTTTCAGCAATCAGATCTGACAAACAATACTTGTGAGCAATCTTGTGGGCCTCAGATTTTAAGTATAATGGGACCTAGCCTAATCCTATTATGAGTGGCTCTATTGTTTTTAGTCTGGGACTGTAGACTGGTTACAATGTCTTGCTTTACTTGTGCAAAATTTAAAGCCTACCTTGCCTAAGATAGCATTTAGTCGTTCTGATTCACAGTCAACAACCACGACCCGTTCTTTCTTCTTCTCCAAATTTTGGAAGAGTGACTTGTAGTCTTCTTCTGTCGTTGTCATTACGTTGACTGCTGTTACCTGCCAGTTTTTCTCTGCAGCAGTATCCAACACTTTTTGCAGCACTGACAAACCTGAGATGGGATAAGATCAGATCAATTCTTAGGAATGGCTTTTGTATCTTTCTCATTGCTTACAACAGTCAAGAAATCATAGCTCTCAGAAATGCTTCGTTTCTATGTGTACCCCGTGCTCTCAATCAATAAATCCAAGGTAAGAGGCAGCATTTTAATATCTAACATCTACACATGTTCACGTTTTACATTATAATGTTTATACCAACTGTTTTAGATCAGCATTATCATTCCCATATTGTATGTATGTGTGTGTATGTATATATAAGATTCTTTATCTTGCCTTTATTATTTTTATAAATAACTCAAGATGGTGAACATACCTAATACTTCTTCCTCCTCCTATTTTCTCGACAATAACAATCTTGTGAGGTGAATTGGGCTAAGAGAACGTGACTGGCCCAAAGTCATCCAGCCGGCTTACATGCTTAAGGCGGGACTAGAACTCACAGTCTCCTGCTTTCTAACTACTACACCAAATTGGCTCTTTTTTGGGGGAGGCTGGACAAGCCTACCTGTGATATGATGATTTATTTAATGTAACCTAATGCATTGTATGGTACATATTAGGTTTGCAATGTCCTCTGTATTTCCTATAACTCATAAGGACTTAATCTGCCTATTCCAATCCAAAACTTCCTTTGTTCCACTGCTCAGTTAGACTTACCCCGGTCAGCATCATAAATGTACATAAACTTCTGGCACTTGTAGTATTCGATGACACTGATGAGGGCATCCTGAAGTTCTGGGCGTAGCTGAATAACAAATTGATTGGACGTGTCAACAGGGAAGCTAGGTGTTACAAAGCAGACATGTAGTGCCCCACAGAAGGACGTGAGCATGTTGACAGTCCTCCTCTCATAAAAGCCAAAGATAGCATAGACCCCCTTGGAGAACTGGGAGCAGACTGTAAAGAGAAGAAGGGGAAAAAAAGAAAACAAAAGTCAGAGATGCTTTGAAAGGAATTAGATACACTTCCATTTTATTTTGGCTTTATTCCTTTGCAAGTAGTCATATCGTTCAAAGCACAGCCACAGAAGGAAGTTTCAAAGACTGAATGTTCTATTCCTTTGCCCTGTCAGGAGGGTGAGTGTGTGGATGCCCTGCTATTATTACAAGATAAGGTCTGGAGTGACAGTTTTTCAAATAACTCCCATGGGAATTGAGGTTTTAAAAATGATAGGATTAAGTTGTATCTAAGCCACTCACCCAAAGAAAGAAAGAAAGGATACTGGATAGGTTCTACGATATATCATCATATGTTATATTCTACTGTATGGTTATTTCCCCTCATGGCTAGGAAAAATGCATTAAATGTTTCTTCAAGTTAATAAAGCAACTTGCTTCTCTTTTGATGTCAGATAAATATTGTAGTTTATTAAATGTGGCCATTCTAAATCTGCAATGGATTGTGTGGTTCTATGCAAGCGTTCTTTAATTTCATGCAAAATTAATATTTCAATCTGTAGCATCTATGTTAGAACTGAAAAAGAAGTCTATCCAGATTAAAGGCAGATAATATTTCAAAACCATGTTGGGTTTTCAAAAATTCTTGTTGATATGACAGTTAAAATAAATCTGCTGTGTTTTCAAGTGGCCTACCTTTTAGCTGTTCAGGTATCTAGTACATTTAGCATGGTTGAGGGGGGAGGTTTCTTAAGAAGATAAGAAAAGCTCTGCTGGATCAAACAAAGGATCTAAGGCTATTGCTGAGGAAGTCAAAGTGTGTGCAAGGCAGTGGCAAAATGCAGTAGTATCCCCACTGCCTTGCACACACTTTGACTTCCTCAGCAATAGCTTGCAAGAAGTGTCCTCTGATGCCTCAGGTACCAGTAGGCCTATCCTCCATGAAACATGTCCTACTTCTTCAGAGGAAAAAAAGAACTGAACGAACACTGCGCTAGAAGTCCCTAAGGTTTTATTCAGCTATGGAATTTGTATGTTTGTATGAAAGAGGTGGTTTGGAAAAGAGTAATTAATGCTTTTGGGAACATTTTCAGCCTCATCACTTTTCTCTCTTGAGACTCTTTTCCAACAAATGTGAGAGTTAACTCCAAGGGATGAAATAGTACTCCCCAATTCCATAATTCCATAATATGGTAAGATGTAATTCAGATTCATTTGTTTATAGCACATGGATATGGGGAATCCAGTTATATGTGAACTGTTGCTCTCAAGGTCAGCAGCAATTTCTGGAGAGATAAGCAATTTAGATTATCTAATGCTGGGGCCAAAAGGGGGAATGGAGGCTTATATTTGGAACTAAATCTTGTGAAAGTATTATTTACTGCATGAGAATTCACATTTAAAAAATTTACTAAGGATTTTATCTCTGAACTTTCAAGGCAAATTGTGTAGGCCAGTTTGAGCAGCATATGCAGATTTATGTCTGAATTACATACAGATATTAAGGAAAGATGCATGAAATGTATTAGTGAAAAAAATTGAATTGCTAAAGCAGTTTTTGTTTAAATTATAATTCAGATGTGCCATCCCCACATCTCCAAGTAGAGCTATGTAGAATTCCTAATTCTTGACTGGCTGATTGGTCTTCATATTGTGTGAATTTCTGGTACCTAGTGCTATTTTATCTTTTAGTTGTTGTCGTAATTTTTTTTTTATTTAGGTAGACATCAACATTGATTGATTGCTTCTGATAACTAATTATGCAGTTGTGTCTCTGTCATATTTCATTACTTCTTTTGATTATTTTACTTTATTTCAGTACTTTGATCGTTTTTGCTGTTTTAATTGGTTTAAGCTATCTTAGACACTGCATAAGAGAAATATGAAATGTACCATTTCTTATAAATAAAAAATAGTCACGCTGATGGAGGGCTTAACAGAAAAACCTAACAATTTTGTGAAAGATTTTATAACAGATGATCACATGTGGCAAAATTTCACTTGTGGCACAGATGGCCAAGTTATTCCGGCAGTGAGAAAGACTGGGGTAGCTAGGTCACCTTAATGGCTCTAGGTTTAACAAAAAACTTAAGCAATGAAATTTCTGCATAAATAAAATCAAATGCTAAAAATGTCCACTAATTCTAGCTTTCTTTACATCTGATTTCAATACTTTCTGTTGCTAATAGGCAGAAGGGTTTGATCTCTGTCAACCAGCTCCCCAGGATAAGGTTTGCACTGGATCATGGGAGTGCTTGAAAGCTATGTACAAATTCCCAGAGGAAAACTGCATGGTAGGGACAGCAGCATATTTTGAAATATAAACCTCAGGCATGCATACTGTCAAGCATGTTTAACTTCATTCATGTTTACTGGTGCATTCCAATTATAATAAATCAAATTCTAAGGCAATGGTTCTAAGAGTGACTGTGCTTTCATCTTGAGACCAAGCCTTTGGCTTTAACATCATGAGATGAATATGACTTTGTAACTGCAGAACACTTAAAAAAAAACGAACAAACAAACCAAAACAGGGTTTTTCACTGTCTCCATTCTCCCTTGAACTAATTCTAGTTTTTGCTATCCAGCCAATGATATTCCCTTGTCTGTAAGGAACACTGTCAAATGACTTTGGTCTTCTCCAAACTCTTTATGATGTCATATTAATCCTACTAGTATCTTTTGCCATTATAGCTAGCTAGCACTTTTCAAATATTGCCATATTTGTCACGTTCTCCAACGTGAGCTATTAAAAAAAACACAGAAATTGAATTCTTTCATTCCCAGTGAAAGGAAGAAAAGAGACAAGGCTCGCTGGATGTGATATATTCAAGAGATTCTAAAGAGAAAACTTGGCAGACACTTTTGTGGTAGTATTCATACCACATTGTTCCCACCTCCCTCCTGGGAAGCAAACATGGAGTCTACTGTGTGTATCTCCTTCTCAAGGAACTCTTGTAGTCCTCACAGTGCAACCTATAACCCACCAGCAGCTTGACTCTAGCTATCCTTCAGTCTTTTCATTCAATGTGCCTCAGTATCAGAAAGAAAGATAGGATGTGCACATATCAATATTCCGTTACATGATCACAATGTTCCTTCTCCCATTTTTAGACCTATCTCTATAGCCTAGGCTGATCTCAGTTTGATCATTAGGGAAGTTGCATAACATTTCCCTGCTTCAGCCCATCCTTGAGTGTGGTTGAAGAAGCAAATGTCTTATAGTTCCATTTTACAGAGGTAACATTAGGCAGTGCCAGACACCATAACATGAATATGGTCAACCATGTTTGATATTATTCCTCTCTTCCCATCTTTTTCCTTCATCTCAAATAAACATAGCAATAAATAAACAAACATAAATAAATAAACAAAATGCTTCCAAAGTTTCTTCAGACTGAATCAGATTTTGGATTTCTCTTCCCCATCTTCATTGCTCTCCAACATTCAAAAATTAAGATTTCTCTTCATCCTAAAAGTTTATCTTTGTGTGTATCTAGGGTGAATGCTATTTCTTCCTTTCCCCTTGAATCTAATTCCCTTTTAAAACCTTCCATATTAATGCCTACCACCACATATTATAATAGCTAATTTCCTAGTATTTTAATCTGATATAATATAAAGAAGTACTCCTTTTCTATCATTTGGCTTCACAGGATAATTGTAATAACTAGATTTATAAGGCTGCCCAACTCAAACAACGTGACTCAAAGCAAATAATAAACCAACACCCCCATGTAACATTAAAACATATACAATATATAAATATAAGATACAAAATATAAAATATAAAATTATGATTAAGCACCATAACAAAACCACAAAAGGATACTCCACACAACTGGCCCCTAATGCCTAGGGACAACCCAGATCTTAATGGCTTTCTTACAGATAAGCAGTGTTGGGACCTGTTAGATATTGGGGAGGGGGGGGATTGTTCCATAGAACAGGGGCAACCAAAGAATAGGCATGCTTTCTAGATCCCATAAGATGACAAGAATTAAAAGAAGGAACTTGGAGCATGCTCTCCCTGTGGGAGCATGTGGGGTGGGCAGATGATTTGGGGAGAAGGCAGTCCTGCAAGCAATCTGGTCCTATGCCACATAGAACTTTAAAGATGATAATCAGCACCTTGAATCACATCTGAAAGGCTATTGGTAGCCAGTGCAGCTCATGGTGTTATATGGGCAAAATGAGATGCACCCATAACTAGCCGTGCTGCTGCATTCTGGACCTACTGAAGCTTCCGGATGGTCTTCAAGGGCAGCCCCATGTAGAGCATGTTACAGTAGTCCAATAATTCCCAGGTTTAATCCCAGGAATCTTCTAATAAAAGGGTAAGATAACAATTGTAAGTGTTGTAAAAGACCTCCTCTGAGTACCTCCATGTACAAGAGCAAAGAGTAATTTTGGACTACACCAATGTGGGAAACTTTGGCTTTGAAGATGTTGCAGAATTAACATTCCCAGCATTCTTCATTCACTGTATTGGGTGGGACTACTGGGAACTATAGTTTATCAACATCTGCAGGGACATGGAAGTTTATGAGCAAACAGCATGAGTTGATGTAAAGGAACATCCTGTACTTTTTATTACTAACTCCTCAATTTACTATATCAGTCTGGTTTTATGTCTTCTGATTAACATTCCACTTGGTAGGGCAGCTCTATCACTACAAACACAGAAATGCCAAGAAATGCCATCTGGGGAAATATAAAAGTGTAGTTTAGTAAAAAAAACAAAAATCAAGTAAAAAAATTGACTGACTACATCCTTGAGCCATAGCAGGAAACTGCTTCAAGTCCTCTTTTCCAATGCTTTCAATATGATGTACAAAAGAAGCATCCCTTTTTAATTAACATATCTTAATTTTGATTAAAATATGATACATCACTCCGAAGTTGGCAACAAAGCATATGTAGGTCCCCCCAAATAAATGGTTATAAAAATCATGCAATTTTAGTAGTTTTGAAAGTTTGTGCAAGAGTTCAGTGGAAGAC